ACCTTTCTTGTACGTGATGCGGTAGGTGAAGTTGCTCTCCATGTAGTCCAGCCACCGAATTTGTCGCGCGTTGAGGTTGGGCTGAGCTCGCAGGCACTGTAGGGACTTGTGGTCCATGCGAACAGTGACGTCGGCGCCCACCAAGTAGCAGCGCCACAGTTTGAACGCGTGTATTATGGCAAGCATCTCCTTGTCATGTATTGGGTAGTTGCGCTCGGCTGACTGCAGCTTGCGTGACTCGTAGGCGATCGGCTGCAGCCCGTTCCCAAAATCCTGGAGGAGTACAGCTCCGATGGCGAAATCTGAGGCGTCGGTGACGACTTCGAACGGCTTCGATGGGTCGGCGATGCGCAAAACCGGAGGGGAGACGAGAAAATTCTTCAATTCCTGAAAAGCCGCCTCAGCTTCCTCCCCCCACACAAAATTCCTGTCCTTGTGCAGCAGGTCGGTCAGCGGGCCAGTTATCCTCGCCATATTCGGGATAAACCGCCTGACGTAGTTCACGAATCCCAGAAAACTCTGAAGTTCCGTGATGTTAGTCGGGGACTTCCACTCCTGAATGGTCTTGATTTTCGCCGGGTCGATTTTGATGCCGTCGCGGGAGATGACGTGCCCCAAAAACTCCAACTCGCACTTAGAGCCCTTGGTGATGAGGCGGTTCTCCTGCAACCGCTTAAACACTGCGTCGAGGTCGCGGAGGTGTTGTTCCCTTGTCCTGCTGAAAATCAGAATATCGTCCAAATAGACGATCACACACTTGTCGAGAAATTCCCGGAAAATCCTGTTCATGGTCAGTTGAAATGTCGAAGGCGCGTTTGTGAGGCCGAACGGCATCACTGTGAACTCGTAGCTTCCGTAGCAGGTGCGAAACGCGGTCTTGTGACAGTCGTCGGCGAAGACCCGAATGTGGTGGTAACCGCCACGCAAGTCGATTTTCGAAAAGTAGCGAGCGCCGCGAAGTTGATCGAGGAGGTCGTCGGTGCGTGGGATTGGATAGCGAGATTTGATGGTCACCCGGTTGAGCGCGCGATAGTCGATACACATGCGAAGCCCGCCATCCTTCTTCGGCGTAAACAGTATCGGGGCTGCGAAGGGAGATGTACTGGGTCGGATAAACCCCTTCTCCAAAAGTCCCTCACTTTGTCGTCGCAGCTCCTCGAGTTCCGGTTGGGTCAACCGCCACTGTGTACGTACAGTCGGCTGCGCGCCAGGCTCCAGCTGGATTTTGTGGTCCGCGGGGCGTTCGGGTGGCAGTCCAGGTGGTAGGTCGTCGGGAAAGATGTCCGGGCACTGTCGAATCAGCTCCGCTAAACCAGGTGGTACAGCTGCGCACAGCTTCTCGATGTCCTTTCCGTCGGTGTCGGTTGCCAACTCGCGCAAACATACGGCGAACAGCTGCGCGCCTCGGTTGAAGTGGCGAGCAATAGTGATAGCTTTGACGCACGGGGCTTGGATGTAGTCAGGTGTCCATGCAGGCAATTTAATTAGCCCCTCGTGCTTGTTGATGCTGCACGATCCCGTTGTCCAGTCGATGACGGGGTTGTGCCGTCGCAGCCAATCACGTCCCAGCAGCACGTCGCAGCCGTCCAACGTTGTAGCGAGAAACTTCATGCTGAAGCCGAAATCGTCGCCGCATTCGATCCGGACCGTCCGTGTTTCTTCCAAAATCGCCAGAGGCGTCCCATCCACGAGGCGAGCGTCGATTTCGGGCAAACACCTGTCAAGTTGCAGCTTGCATTTTTTTGCTGTCGCCAAGTGAAAGAGGCTATGGCTGGCCCCTCCGTCGACGAACATTTTCAAGTAATTTTTGAACACTTTGCCAACGACCAGCACAGGGTGATCCACATGGTTATCCCCGTTATTCGGCCGAGTGCGATCGATTGCACGAATCGGAACCACGACTCGGTGGGGATGATGGTGTTCGGGCGACAGAGCACAGTCAGTAAGGGGCCCGTCTGTTACTGACTCTTCCCATTTCCCGGCTCTTTCCCGTCGTTCTCTCGGGGCAGTCTGCATATTTGTGACCCGGCTTCCCGCACTTATAACACAACGCTGTGTAGGGGCGGTCTGGTGCATGGACTCCGTTGATCGTGGCCCGTTGGGTCTGGCCGCGAAAACGATTTCCCTCACGGAAACTCGACCTCGCATACTGCATCAGCGCGTCCGTGGATTCTGCCAACCGTGCTGCTTCCAGGAACGATGTCGGGCGGCATCGGCGCACCTCATACTGTATCTCGTATTTAAGGCCGCTGACGTACTTGTCTAACCGCTCCGCTTCCGACATGTCGTCCACTTGGTCGGCGAGGGCCATGAAATTTGCTGTGTAGTCTTGGACAGATGCCAACTGCGACCAGGTACGCAGCTTCATGCGAGCTTGTTCCGAGCCGGATATGTGCTCGAAGCGATCTCGTAAGGCTGCGCCCCACTCCTTCCACGTGCGTATCTTGGTCACGCCGAATATCGGTGCTGCCACTTGAGTAACCGTCGTTGAAGTCCCGGCTGCCGCATGTCTCACATCTGTCGGGGTCCCCGTGTCCAAGGTTCGGCGCCACCACTCAAGCGCTGCGCCTCGAAGAAGCGAGACCGCGTAATTAATACGCGTGGCATCGTCGTTCACGCGTGCTGCAGTGAAGAAGACTTCAACGCCGAAAAGCCACCCCTTCACTATAGTAGTCTTGTCCATAGGGTTGAACGGGGGCGGGTTGGCGGGTTTAATCTTGATCGTCGTTACTGCAATTGGCGTCGCTGCCGCTCGCTGCCTATCCTCTTCTTCGAAATCACGTGTGAACGCGTCCAACGGGTTGCTCACCGCTTGACTGTTTCCCTCGCCTTCTTCATCGGGCGACTCCTTACGCGCTTCACCTCGCGTCTGGCGTAGCTCGGCGTTTTCTCCTCGTAGTGTTGTCACTTCTGCTGATAGAGTCTGCACTGTTGCCTGTAGCTCTGCCATTTGCGCCAGCATCTTGTTCAATGTCTCCTGGTCCATGAGTCGCACGCTTCGTCTGGTGGGCAGAGGGGTATCCGTGGCCCTCCGGTGAGTGGAAAACACGAACCATCGGAGTCGGGCAGGATTGAATTAACAAACCTTGCAGCCAACCGTCGTGTAGTCCACTATACCGACCACACCCGTGCCACCAAACTACCCTCGAAAAGCGGGGTGAACTAGGAAAGTAGCTCTGATACCAGGTGTTATGAGTTGTGAAAGAGAGTGCGCGGAATAACGAATAACGAAGATGTGACTCAATGAACTGACAATACAATGAAGGCACGCGCTAATATAGTGGGCCAACCTAGCTAGGCGGGAACCTCAGGAACACGAGGTTGGGTGCAGGTTGGGCAAAGGAAAGGCCGAAGGCGACGCGAGGTTGCTTCGGCAGCAAGCAAAGTGGCCGAACGTGCACTTCCGAAAGTTGGGGTTGTACGCGGTTGAGTAAACCCCTGTAAGGAAAAGGGTTTTTCCTTACACGTGTTACGACCAGACCCCACATGTCCAAGAACATGAACCAACTACACATCTCAAATACAACCCTAGGGAGGCAAAACATACAACACGAAAAATACCCTGAGGACATGACACCCTCCAGTCATACGATATTCCAGCAAAAAACAAACCAACTTCTTTTTACATTTGACACTCACATAGACAAATAATCATACCATGACAAAAGCAGAATCCACAACAATTATACAAACTAGTCACTCGACAATCCGTCGCTCGATTGCATCCCTTGGGCCCGAGCAAGCTCCTTGGTGAAATCAATCTCTGTCGATGAAGACTCAAGCTCGCGATCTATCTTTTCCGCCATCCGGTTAGACTCGGCCCCAAGGAACTCATCCTTCATCTCCACCAACTCTGTCAGTATCCGGTTCATCGATGGGCGAGAAGCAGTGGGCATGACAGTGCAGCTGATGGCAAGCTTGGCCATGCGGAGCACCAAATCATCTGGTGCTTGCAAAAGAGGATCCTTGAAGGCCGAGACATCACCAGCCGCCACCAGAGGAGCCACCTGGTGTGAACAGTGAAAATGAAGGATGGGAAGCTGCGTCAATGGTGGTTGGGTTTTGGAAGCAATAACCGTCCCTGCTTCACTCACCACAGCCACAGCAGGAGTTGGAGTTTCTGCGAGTTGGTTACTAAATAGGTATCGGTCGGACTTGGTGATGGCAGAATCATACAAGGACTATGAGCTCACCCAGGTTTTCAGGTTGTGTTGGTCTGAGTCCACCATGTAGACGGCTTTGCGTGCGGTTATGACTGTTAGCATCACGACTCCAAAGCTGCGGGTTTAACAATGGCACAAATGAGGGCGTGCAAAGCCATGGATGATATGGAAGGATGCGAATAATGCACAAGGATACAGGCACAAAGCATTGAACAAAGAAACAGACATGTTTGAAGAGATGCACATAAATGTACAGCTGTGCTGTTTCATGACGCTACTCCATACATGTGCACATAACCCATGCCTGTTCACATCACCCATACCTGTGTACATAACCCATGCCTGTTCACATCACCCACACCTGTGCACATCTCCCATACCTGTGCACATCACCCATACCTGTGCACATCACCCATACCTGTGCACATCAGCCATGGGGGTGGCCTTCTGTGACTTGTAGTAAGCCGGGTCCACATAGCCCGGTGTGCCCATCACCCGCGTCGCAATCACTGACGTGCCCTCACCCATTCTGACAAGTCCGAAGTCCGCAATCCTGGCCTGTACATTCATTACGCATGCTAGCAATACAGGGTCAGATTTCTGAAAAAAAATAGCTGCATGTGAAGCAGTTGTTCGAATCTACCTGACCAATGATACCTGCATCTTGTTGTCGAGAAGCACATTGGCGGGCTTGATGTCGCGATGCACGATGCCAAAGCCATGCAGGTACTGCAGCCCCTGCGCCATGCCGATCATCACCTCCAGGCGCTGCCTGATCGTCAGCTGCTTGGTGGCGTCTGAGGCATGGCAAAGGTTCAGGGGGGTGAGGTCTTTGCATTAGAGAACGTAAGCACCATGATTCCCGTGCGCGTGAAGAAGGTCTTGGTGAAGGGAAGCAAAGCAACGACGAGTGGAGTGCAGTAGAGTAAAGCAGACTATAGTAGAGTGGAGTAGATTAGAGTAGACTAAAGTAGCGTAGACTATGGTAGAGGAGACTAGAGTAGAGAAGAGTAGACTGGATTCGAGAAGAGTAGAGTAGAGGAGGGCAGAGGGGAGTATCTCACGGGGTCCAATCCAGCGTTCGAGGTCGCCATTGGACATGAACTCATAGATGACAATCTGCTCGATGCGCTCCGTGGTGTGATTCATGTCGAAGCAGTACCCCAGCAGCCGCACCAGGTTCGGGTGATTCTTGGTCGCCATCTCGTTCACCTGCCATGCACTCAAGCACATGCAAAGGGAGCAACACACTTCCCGTTGGGCATTCGTGTATGCGTCATTCATGACCGAGGTCCCGTGTATGTGATAAGGGAAGCGAGAACCCAAGATGTATGTGTGTGTGCAAGGCCTAAATAAAAGTGTGTGCAAGGCCTAAATAAAAGGACAGTTCGGTAAGCGTCAAACCTTTCCCCGCTCTCTTTAAGATGAGATCCGAGCATTGCGCTTGCTTTCTCACCTCCCGCTTGAAATCATTCGTAAGAATTTTGGCGCGTTTGACGGCCCAGATCTCATGGGGAGCGGTGGGGTTGGCGCCCTTGTACACATCCCCGAAGCTGCCGCTGCCAATGCGGTTCGCCTCCGCCCACTCGCCCGTCGCTGCCGCCACCTCCGCCAGCGAGTACTGCCGGCACACCAACGGACGTGCCTCCGCCACCGCTGCTGCTGCTGCTTCTTCTTGTCTCACTGCTCCTGCTGCCATTGCAGCAGCCGCCGCTGCTTCCGCTGCTCCAGGTCCTCCTAGCCCTGTGTACTTATCACCAGATTCTGCTCCTGCTTTTCCTGCTTCCACGTCTTTCTCGTCCTTGCCCGCATGCTCAGTTTTTTCTGCACTTGCCTTCCTGGCCTTGTGGGCCCAGATAGCCAGCAGGAAGAGGAGAATGAGTCCGACGACGCAACCCAGGACGATGCCAGCAATGGCGCCTGAAGACGGAGAGGAGCTGTTGCTGCTGCGGGTGCTGGTGCGGGTGCTGGTGCTGGTGCTGGTGGTGACGGTAGGAGTTGGGGGTTTCGAGCTGGACACTGCAAGGAGTGGCATGGCATGGGTGGTGGATGGGAAGGGGAGGGGCGAATTGCAGGTTGAGTGGTCACAACCAAGTTCCGCAGCAGCATCAGCAGCAGCAGCGCCACGCACTATCTGTTCTCGAGGCACCTGCAAAGAATACGTGCGGAGTATCTCATACATGCAGCGGTGGACCAAAGAGTGCAACGCAAGGCAGCACGATGGGAGAACGGTCTGGCTAAAGCGAGCAACAGTACGGAAAAGAAACAGTGAGATCAGAAAACGCCGAGGACATTCAGGAGATTTGGAGGGGACCCATGGTAGCAAAAAGACAAAGCGAAGGAGCAAACTACCAAGCACAATAGCAAGTGAAGGACAGACTCATGCCTAGGAAGAAAGCATGAGAAAACAAACGTGAAATCCAAGGGTGGGAGACTGAGAATCTTGGGTGTAAGTAGGAAGGGAGTTGCTCACTGTAGGAGGGAGAGCAAGAGGAGCAGAAGCTGGGGCACATCTGACAGAAGCCGGAGGAATAGTTCTGCTGCACAGCGCAGTTGCCAGTCACAGCACAGTTCACCCCACTGTTCGCCAAGTCCCTGCGGGACGGAAAACGCATGAAGTGTAACACGTGCATGGCGAGGTGAATGAGGTCCGAAAAACGCTTGTAATTGCATCTTTCACAACTCCTCCAACCCCATAGCCTCGTCCCCACCCTCTCCATTTCCGCCCTTTTCTTCCCCAAGCCCTTCACAACAGGTCACCAAATGGCCCATCTGCAACAGACCTAAACCAAGGTGGGTCAACGACTTGCTAGCTACTACAGCCGTTGCCACTCAAGCCCAGCTCTCCACTCATATGCATGTCAACCACCTTTCCCCGCGCAATCTGCTCGAGTGAGGCACCAATCGCACATCCCTCCCTCCCTCCCTCCCTCCCTCCCTCCCTCCCTCCCTCCCTCCCTCCCTCCCTCCCTCCCTCCCTCCCTCCCTCCCTCCCTCCCTCCCTCCTCACTTCCCAGTCTGTGTGCGTGCACTGCATACCACGTGGTGAGTGCCTTGAGCGAGCCCATTTCCGCTGGCAGAGTGCTAACGAGATTCAGGTTGTTCTTTAGATTTCTGTTGGGGGTGGGCAGGAGGGTGGAAGTTGAGGAATTGGGAGAGGTGGGCGCGATGGAAGAGGGGGAGAAAGAGAGGGTGAGTTTGAGAGATTGTGTGAGATGCTGTTACTACGTGGCTAAGTCCAGTTAAGTGCATGCGTTACCCCGCCGGTTTGACTTACAGCGTTTTGAGGTTCGGTAGGTTGGCGATGGTGGTGGGAAGGCTGCCGTGCATGCCTGTGGAGGACAGGTCCCTGCCAGACCAAACATGCAACCCCGTGCACGAGTCGTACGTACGTGAGGTTGGTGAGTTGGTGAGCGAGCGACAGTGCCTGATCGTGAAAGAATCGAAACTAAAGTCGCAGTCAATGCAACAGCGAACGTACAGTCTGGATAGCAGATTGAGTTGGCTAAGGTTTGAGGGAATGGAGCAGTCGAGAATTACTCCTTTGAAGTCCCTGCTTGTTGCCATTTCATGCCAGTATTTCAACGGCCACCGTCATATGGTAGCAATCACACACGCCAGCGAAATCGTGTTCCATTGCATGGCACACCATGAGGGCACGAGGGAATGACAGGACGAGAACATGAGAGCATGCATGTGCATCAGAGCCTCCTAGCAAGCAGACCACGTCCACAGCATTCACGTCACACCAGCACATGTACTAGAGGACCATTCGTTTATCTGGCGAGGAGATTGCATCGATGAGGCGATGGAAGATCATCAAGATTTATGAAAGAAACAATGGGGGCGAGGGAGGACCGGAAGGGCGGCGGGGAGGGGAGGAAAGCAAAAAACGTGGGCGGGGAGAGGGTAAAATGTGACAAACGATACAAAATGCTGGAAAACAGGGCTTAAACAGGAAGCGTGCATAGTTGAGGAGAGACGGAATGACAGAGCGGTGATTTAGGTCAAGCGCCTGGGTGACGAAAGTTCCGGTGCGCAGTTCGTGAGTCGACTCGAGGTCAGCACATGCCTTTCGGACATGCTATGGCACTACCCTATGGCATTGCAATCTTGGCGACGGTGAGAGGATGTGACTTACAACGAAACAATGCCGTACGATGATGCATTGTAAAAGGCAGTGCCATATCCGCAGGTGACACCAGAAGAAGAGCAAGGGTCCGAGGTGCTGATGCTCGTGCCGCATGCAACGTTGAAGTCAATTAGTGCTTCCACTGCGGCGAGAGAGAAGCGAGAGAGGTGAGAGGTTCGAGAGAGGTGAGAGAAGAGAGGGTTTGCTAGTAATGTCACCTTTCAAGACGTGAAACCGATTCTCTCTCTCAAACACGTGACGTGTTTATAATACCGAACGGAGATCAATGTGAATGTGGCGAAGCGTCACGTCGGCGATGCAAACAACAAGCAGGTGCGTTGGTCGGACCGTCCGAAAAGGAATTATCGCAAACAAACACACGTGTTTCTCTGAGCGCATTCTGGAGCGAACCTTCGTAGATAGACTGCGCGTGGACGCGTCGTGGAGCGCGGCTCGTGGCCAAGAGGGCGAGGAGAAGCGACGCGGACAACAGCGACGTCACGCCACGTGCCATGGCGGCGTCACTCACGACCACGAGTAGTAAATGTCGATGCAGCAGAAAAAAGAAGGTTCAAGTTGACCGCGTGGCGGGGGAGACGGAAAAGTCGTTGGCAGGGTGGAGTTGAAGGTGGTAAAATAGTAGCTGCGTGTGGAAGAGGAGAGCAGTGCAACAGGTTTTTTAAAATGCGTGTGCGCTTGCGTGGTCCTTGAAATGCCACAAGCAGGGCACCGGCATGCCACCAGCAGAACCAGCAGAACCAAGAGAAACAGCAGAACCAGCAGAACCAGCAGAACCAGCAGAACCAGCAGAACCAGCAGAACCAGCAGAACCAGCAGAACCAGCAGAACCAGCAGAACCAGCAGCAGCATAGGCTGCCCCCAGCGAACCAGCAGCAGCATAGGCTGCCCCCAGCGCACCAGCAGCAGCTTAGGCAACTGCCTGCGCACTAGCAGCAGCATTGGCTGCCCCCTGGAGAACCAGTAGCAGCCTAGGCTGCCTCTCAGCAGAACCAGAAGCAGCACAGGCTGCCCCCAGCGCACCAGCAGCAGCTTAGGCTGCCCTCAGCAGAACCAGTAGCAGCATAGGCTCACATGGCATGTACTAGGGTTCTACAGCAGCAGGGCCAGCCGCAGCACTCCCGTCAGTTGGGGCCTGCGGGTCCAAAGTGTGGCGCCCCCAGCAGTGGCTCAGCTAGCAGTGGGCGAGACGTCGGCCCCTGCGGGTACCGGGCCCTGACAGGCCCTGGTGCTGGCACTACCTGCTGGAGTCCTGACCACACTGCGTCCAGCTGCTACCGTCGACTCGACGACCTCCACCGTGAGCGTTTTGGTCCTCACGCTATTACACCGCACTGGCCTTCGCGCCTTCGCCAGCGCACTACTGCACCAGTTGAGTCTCACCTGCCTGGTCTAGGACCCTTTCCGGCTGCACGAGTAGAGACCTGTGTTTCCAGTCTTGGTGCGTGTGTTGTTTCCAGTCCCGGCGCCTCTGAGGGTCTTTGTGTAGAAGCTGCAGCTACCACTAGTCTAGCACTAGCCTTTGTAGCTGGTTCGGGTGCGACCCCACAGACTGCACAGCTTTCCTTCACCCTAGATTCTGGAGCGTCCAGCTGTTTCTTTCGCGACTGTACCGACCTCACACCACTGCGCACTCCAGTCACTGTCGCCTTGGCTGACCCCTCTGTGGGACGTGTAGTTGCTAGCAGCACCACCACTCTTCCGTGTCCGACGGCTCCCTCAGGTTTTCTTACAGGTTACTACACCCCCTCGTTCTCTAGGAACTTGGTGGGTGTCAGTCACCTTCACGACCTAGGCGTAGTCACTACTTTCCCACTGGACGAGCATGTTGCCTCCTGCACTGTCGGTGCCACTGGGGCGCCCCTGGCCACATTCCACAGAGAGCCGGGATCTGGTCTGTACTCACTACACACTGGGTCCCACCACACTGAGTCGGGTCAGGTCAGGTCAGGTCAGGTAGCTGCTGTGTCGTGTGACTGTCGGTCCCTCACCCACCCGTCGGTCCTCTGGCACCACCGTCTAGGTCACCCGTCGTTCCCGCGTCTCAGTAGGATGGCACGTTACCGTCTGGTCTCAGGTCTCCCAGGGTCGCTTGCACCGCTTCCCCGCTCTCCTGCGCCGCTGTGCACTCCTTGCGTCGAGGGTCGGCAGCGCGCTGCCCCTCACTCCTCCTCGTTCCCCCCCACCACGGCTCCCTTCGAGACCCTGCACTTGGACGTCTGGGGCCCCTCTCCGGTCCTTGGCCCACGTCAGGAGCGCTACTTCCTGATTGTGGTGGACGACTACTCCCGCTACACCACGGTTTTCCCCTTGCGACGGAAGGCCGACGTGCCTACCGTCCTCGAGCCGTGGCTACTAGCGTGGGGTGGCGCCCAGGGCCTGTGTGGGCTTCGCCTACACTCGGACCGTGGTGGTGAGTTTTCTTCCACTCGTCTGGAGACGTTCTGTCAGGGTCGGGGGATCATCCAGTCTTACACGCTACCAGCATCACCGCAGCAGAACGGGGTAGCCGAGCGACGCATCGGCCTGGTCATGGAGGTTGCCCGGACCTCCATGTGCCATGCCGGTGCCCCCCAGTGCTCTAGGGTTACTGAAGTGGACAGAGGGGGAGGAGGAACGAAATGACACCAGCAGCATAGGGTGGTTCCCTCTATTCCGCCACACCCCGCTGGACCACGCTGACAAATAGGATAGAAAATTCTGGTGCCAGCGTGAATGCGAGTGGAGTGACGTGGCACAGTTGTTAATTTGGAATGGTGTTGACCAGGATTAGACGTTGACTCGAATGGACTTCGGGATGACAACTCGAATGGATCACAGGGGAACCTCGAAATGTGCAATCGCGATGGAGACCAGCTGTCCTCAACATGAACTTACGCTTCAAACAGGTATTAGCACAAGGCTCAAGAAGACAACACACGTAGTCTGAACATGACAAGCACCCTATATCCAAAGCATGGAACCAAGATACTATTAGAATGTACACACTTACATCACATATTTACATTTTAAATTACTTGTTTGTACCCACT